GCACAGACACTGAGATCAACCATTAATAAATGGGACCTCCTGAAACTGAGAAGCTTCTGTAAGGCAAAAGACACAGTCAACAAGACAAAATGGCTGCCCACAGAATGGCAAAAGATATTCACCACCCCACATCTGACAGAGGGATGATTTCCAAAATGTACAAAGAACTCAAGAAGCTAGTCAGCAAAACACCAAATAATCCAATTAAAAAGTGGGGTATGGAACTAAATAAAAAATGCTCAAGAGAGGATTCTAAAATAGCTGAAAGGCACTTAAGAAATTGCTCAACATCCTTAACCATCAGGGAAATGCAAATCAAAACAACTCTGATATACCACTTACACCTGTCAAAATGACTAAAATCAAAAACACCAATGAGAATTTAGGCTGGAGAGGATGTGGAGAAAGCAGAACACTCCTCCATAGCATAGCTGGTGGGAGTATGAACTTGTGTGGCCACTTTAGAAATCAGTATGGCGGTTTCTCAGGAAAATGAGAATCAGTCTACCACAAAATCAGCAATTTCACTCTTAGGTATATACACAAAGGTTGCATATTCATACCACAAGAACATCTGTTCAAATAGGTTCATAGAAGCATTATTTATAATAACTACAACTTGTAAGCAACCCAGATGGCCCTCAACAGAAGAATGGATAAAGAAAATGTGGTACATTTATACAATGGAGTACTACTCACTGGGGAAAAAGCAAAAAACAATGAAATCCTGAAACTCGCAGGCAAATGGGTGGAACGAGAAGAAACCATCCTGATTGAAGCAACCCAGACCCAGAAAGAAAAACATGCTATGTACTTACTTATAAGTGATTATTAGACATAGAGAAAAAGATCACCAGCCTATAACCCACAACCCCAGAGAAGTTAGGAAACAAGGAGGACCCTAACACCTGGAGAAGGGTAAAGAGAAAAGATCTCCAGAGCAAATTGGGAGTACGGAGGGAATGGGGTGGGGTGGGGTAGGAGAACATGAGGGTTCAAGAAGATTGAGTCAAGGGAAGAATAGAGAAAGAGAGCAAGAAAAGAGATACTATACTAGAGGGAGCCATTATAGGTTTAAAAAGACATCTGGCACTAGGGCAATGTCCAGGGATTCACAAGGATGATCCCAACTAACAATCTAAGCAATACTGGAGAGACTACCTTAAATGCCTTCTTCTATGAGACTAATGACTACCTTAAATGTCATCCTAGAGCCTTCACCCAGTAGCTGATGGAAGCAGAAGCAGACACCCACAACTAAGCAGTGAGCTGAACTCCTGGTATTAGTTGTAGAGAGGGAGGAGTGATGAGCAAAGGAGTCAAGACCATGCTGGGGAGACCCACAGAAACAGCTGACCTGAGCAAGTGGGAGCACACGGACCCCAAACTAACAGCTAGGGAGCCTGCATAAGACTGAACCATGCCCCCTAAACATGGGTATCAGTTGGGAGGCCAGGGCAGTCTTTAGCTATGAAATCAGGATTTACCTCTAGTGAAAGAACTTTGGGAGCCCATTCCCTATGGAGGGATATTCTCATCTAGATACACGGGGTGAGGGCCTAGACCCTACCCCAAATGATGTGACAGACTTTGATGATCCCCCATAAGAGGCCTCACCCTCCCTGGAGAGTGGAAGGGGGGGTGAGATGAGGGGTTAGTGAGGTGCATGGGAGGATGGGAAGAAGAAGGAACTGGGATTGGTATGTAAAAATAAGATGTTTTTTAATTTAAAGTAAAAATTAAAAATTTAAAAATTTAAAGGAAAAGAGCAATACATACTCTTAACACTAAACAAACTCTCCAGACTATTCACCTACGTTCTTTTTTAACCTCAGGTATAATTGAAGTAGCTGTGGTGGCTGTTTATTTCCAAGTAGTGAAGATTAAATTAAAACTGTGTGCATTCCTGTTCTTACAGGACAGGAAATGTGAGTGCTTATTCTTTCTTAGTATTTACCTGTTTCAGAATGATAATAGAGTTTTCTAAGTTCTCACAAAAGTAGTAAAACAATCAATTTAGTTTTTAATTTTAATGCAGGTTAATCAACTTGAACATATTTAACATACTTCAATCCAATGCTGTTACAATTTGATACTCAAAATGCCTGTCTTTCACAGTAGAGACTCACTCATGTTAATTCCTAGAAGTCCTTTTAATGGGACGCTAGCAAATTAGAGAAATTACTAATATGACAAAAGTCTTCCAGGCTCAATGTATATATTCACTGACCTAGACTCAGCATCTGCTGCTTCTCCAACAAGTATATTTCTACCTAGTTGTTGAAGTTATTTTTCTCATTACATAGACCTCACTTCTTCATTTCTCTCATTGTACCATGAGTAATATTACTACTGGTTTATTCTTTTTGTTGGCCATGAGATGTGGTGGTTCTCTGGGTTTACCTATTTGCTCAATAAATATTCACTGAGAAATTGCTGGCTACAAAAAAATGATTGCTGAAAATAATGTTAAATAATGTCAATGATTATGACTAGCTCCCTGCCCTTAAAACGATCTCAATGAGGAAACAAACCAGATATATAAATAAAAAGATATAACTAAAAAGGAGGAATCACTGGTACAGTAAGAAATTTTATAAAAAAATGGTAATTTGTAGTAAGCATGGACAGGGAAGGATGTATGTCTGATGTTATGTATATGAACAAGTAAAACAAGATTAGAAAGCTGGAAATGGAAGAAAAGATCAAAATAAGGTTACGAATAAAAAAGAAAGCACAAATAGGGAGGACAACTAGAAGAGGCTTGGAAGAGGCTTAGAAGTAAAGAATGCGCTCAAGAAGCAGGCAGGTCTCTTACAAGTTCAAGGCCAGTCTGTTTTACATAGGAAGTCCCAGGCCAGGCAGAGCTACATGAAATCCAGCTAAAGAAAAGAGGAAGAAGAAAAAGAAGTAGTGGAGAATGGGAACTGGAGAGAGGGCTCAGCAATCAAGAGCACTTGCTGCTCTTCAGAGCACAGGAGCTCTAGTCCCAGCACCCATGTTGGGGATCTCACAGTCATCTACAGCTCCAGCTCCATAGGTCCTACATCTTCCCATAGGTCCTACATCTTCTGGCCTCTACAGGTACCTGCACATAGGTGGCAAACAGACACAGATATGTAATTTTTTAAAAGGAGAATGTATAGTTCAAGGCCTTCTGAATGCCAGGCCCCAGTAAATATTGCCAGACTAAAAGACTTACCAAAATGTACAAGTGACCTCTCCTTTCTAATACAGTTGAAAATCCTCTTGACTTCTACCCAGAGCTATCCAGTAGTACTGCATATTTGGGATTCTTCTTCGAGTGTTATAAAACTCATCATACTATTGTTTAGCATTTAAAAAAAAAAAAAACTAACCTTTTCCTAGCATAAGCTTCAACAGGTAATACATGTTTTCTAACATACAAGTATCTCAAGGACCTACAAATTAAACTTTGTGAAGTAATAAATGCCAAAAGATAAAACATTCAAAGAGGTCTGCAGAAACCTAATATTGCAGAATTAACACTCAACTAATAATTATCCTAAATCTCCTTCAGGAATAGATGGGGAAGAATATGAAGGAATCTAGAAAAGGCTGCAAGCTGCATTCTGTAATCAACCCCCATAAATCTGCATATATGCCAGCATAAGCTAGGCATAGCTTAACTTAACTAAGCCATTTCCTAAAACTGATAACCACATTCTTTTATCAATTAGTGCCTAATAATTCTATTTGAGAACCCTAAATCAATAAGCAGTAATTCCTTGAAGGAAATTCAATGTAGTCAAAGTCTCATCTCCGTTACTTACTTACATGTAGAGCTCCATGTACATGAGCCTAAGCCTGCTACAAGAGCAGCAAAGAGAGAGGGCTGCCCGGGGCTGCTCTTCCCATTGTCATCACACCACCTAAGTGCTCTTACTACAAAGAGTAGTCAACACTTTATGTCAACAACTGTAAATGGAAATTCCTACAAAGTTGGCCCTACCCAAATTCAAGTACCAAACACAACTTACAGAGGAAGAAAAAAAATCTAACAAAAATAAGACTACCTTTTTAATGGCACTACAGGTTTATACAGAGAGACACGCATAAAACATGAGAGTCGACACCACCATCAAGTGCATTGTACTATGCAAAATATCAGAGTCTAATGATCAGACCATGCTCAGAAAAACAGGAGAAACTTGCCAAGCTATTGTCCCACTGTCTAAATTAATAAAGTATAACTGCCCTCTTTTGATTTGTACTATGGTTTAATTTTATGAGTCAGCCATAAGAATTCATAATTAAAGAGTAGACAATGTACTAGTTAGAGCCAAGAAGCATCAGAAATGTAAAATAAAATAATTTTAAAGAGCAACTGGCATTATTTAGCTAGAGAATTTGCAGTTTCAGAAGCTGTAGCACAGGAAACCTTATACTTCTCTTCTTTCTTGCAGACAGAACTCTGATTTCAGAGGGGATAACAACACATACTCAACTCGAATCATAACTGATCTATATCAACCACAGGTCTCCTTGTTCATTTCCGTCAATAATTGGGTTTCTTTAGTACTGCAGATAACTATCGTGTGATCGATTCATGAGGTCAGTAATCCATAAGGAAATATTAACTTGGAGCACTTTCTGTAAAATTGACTTTTCTACACAAAAGAGCATTGTATTCCCACATTATCTTTTTTACATGGTGTACTGGTATGAGAAAAATGATGCAAACCTAGGATTGCAGTTATAACCCTCTTGCTATGAGATAAGCAAAAGCACTGAGAAAACAGTATGTTAAAGATAGCAGGAAAAAGGACCTTTAAGGTAAAGACCTTAAAGCCACAATTATTTAGATTCAAGATAAAACATCTGACATTCATTACATTATTTTTATAGTTGCTTTAGTTGGGATACAAATAATTGAGTTTAACTATATCTTTTTATACAACATGCAATGTTTTATAATACTAATAAAGATTTTAAAACTTATAAAGACAAATAACAGGAAAATTGATCCATACACATACCTTTCCGTGTATTCTCTGTTACATCTACCCCAAACTGGATAATGTCACCAGAAAGAATTTCACATGGTGGACTTTCTTCAGAGCCTCGACTCAATCTCTGGCTATTTATAAAGGTGCCATTACTACTTTTAGTGTCTTGGAGATAAAACTGAAAAGAAAAGAAAAAGCAAAGGGTTAACAGTAATAATATTAAACCTACTTTTAAAAAGGTACCATCAGCTTTGCAAACTACTTCCAGAGGACATTTTGCCTATCAACAGAAACCACTCATTTCAGTTAATGTTCAACATAAATGAAAATAAAAACTTAAAACTGGATAGTTTAAAATTTAACTGGACATATGGTGGAAACACCTTATAAAACAGTTTGTGGTATGTCTCAAAGTGTTAAATGTAAAGTTAGAGTACAACCCAACGATTCTAAAACTCCTTGGTATTTATCCAAAATAGTGAAAAACATACAAAACTTATATATAAACATTCATAACAGCATTGTTCATAATAATAAAAAAAACAGAAACACTTGAAATGTCTTATCAATTGAATAGATAAACAAATGCACGTCTACACATCAGGCTACTTGACAATAAAGAAGAATAAAGTATTGATACATATATATATATATATATACCTCCATATGATGAGCCTACAGAACACAACACAAAGTAAAAGAAGATAGTTGGGGATGCCTGTGATAGTCTGTAATCTTAGCATTCAGGAGACTTAGGCAGGAGGATTATGAGATCAAGGACAGAAGATTGAGTCTCAAAAAAAGAAAAAAAGAAAAAAAAAATAAGAGGAAGAGGACAGATATGGACGGGAGGTGCAGGTCAGTATCAGAGTCCTTGCCAAGCATGCACAAGGCTCTGGGTTCAATCTGCAGCAGAGGAGGTGTCTATGGACAAGCAAAGCAGCTGCAGTCATCACCACAAGTCCCCACGTGTAGAAAACTGACCAAATGTGTAAATACATAAAACAAAAGCATTGCAATAGTTACAGGGAACTAAGGTGGCAGGGTGATTGAGTAATACAGTTTCTTTTAAGAATAAGGGGGAAAAGTATATACTAAAGGTGATGGTTGCACAACCATGTACTAAGCTATACATTTTTAAATGTGAATTTTAATTCTGGAGTAGTGGCCCATACCTGTAATCCCAGCACTCAGGAGTCTGAATTTAATACCAGTCTGAACCATATAGTAGCTCAATGCCAATCAGAGAAATAAAATAAGACCTTAACCCAAGTAAAAAGAAAAAGTCTATGATATAGATGTTAATAGATTAAGATATAAATAAGAAATATGATAGTTAAACTATCCTACAAAGGTAACAGAGGTAACACACAAACAAGGATTCAAATAATATAATCAAAAGAATATTTCCCCATTTTTTCACAGTGACTTTCATGTTTTACTATCCTTTATTCATCCCACAAGCACTCTTACAAGATTAATCAAATCGAAAGCTAATAATCTGCTAAAAATGTAAAAATGACATTTCAAAAGCTACCATACTATAAATTACTTACTATGTTTAAAATGAAACAACTGCTAACTATGTCTAGAGTTAATTACAGATTGTCTTAGGGTTTCTATTGCTGTAACAAAACACCATGACCCAATGCCAGTTGGGGGAGGGGGGTATTTGCCTTATACTTCCCCATTGCTGTTCAACACTGAAAAAGGTTAGTGCAGGAATTCAATCAGAGCAGGAATGTGGGGACAGAAGTGATGCAGAGGCCTTGGAAGCGGGCTGTTGACTGGCTTGCTACCCCTGGCTTGCTCAGCCTGCTTTCTTATAAAACCCAGGACTACTAGCCCTGGGATGACGCCAGCCACCATCGGCTGATCCCTCACCCATCAATCACTAATTGAGAAAATGTCTTACAGCTGGATTTCACGGATGCACCTGCTCAATGAGGCTCTTTTGTCTCTTGATGACTCCAGGTTGTGTCAAGTTAACACACAAAACCATCCAGTACAATGGTCATTTATAAAATTCTGTTGATATTTTATAAATCCATTAAAAATTTATATCCATTAACATTTCACAAGGACTGGAAATGCTGTCAGGAAAGAGTATTCACAAAACCCTTCTCAGCATTAGAACCTACTGTATAAAGAAATGGAGGAGGAGTACTTTTTAATACATCCTTAGGAAATATGGTAATAAGTGGATTCTGGTTTACTTTTTCACAATTTTTGTCTAGAAAGTTATAAATAGCTAATACAAAATTTACAGTCACTTTCAAACTTCAAATTGTGACCGTTTGCCAATTAAATCAATTTACAGGCCTGTAATTCTTTTTTTTTTTTTTTTTTTCCCAGTCAAGGTTTCTCTGTGTATCCCTAGCTGTCCTGGAACTAGCTCCATAGACCAGGCTGGCCTCAGATTCACCTGCTTCTGCTTCTGCTTCTGCTCCTCTGCTCCTCTGCCCCTGCCCCTGCCTACTGGGATTAAAGGCATGTGCTGGGATTAAAGTGCTGGGATTAAAGGCATGTGTCACCAACATCTGGCTCTGCAATTCAATTTTCTAAAATACCTTAGATTTATTTTTATTTAAATATGTATGAGTGTTTTGTCTGCATGTATGTGTGTGTGTGTGTGCGTGTGTGCGTGCGTGCGTGCGTGTGTGTGTGTGTGTGTGTGTGTGTGTGTGTGTGTGCATGCCTGATGACCACAGAGGCCAGAGAGTGTGTCCAATCCCCTGGAACTGGAATGCCCGTGAGCTATCATATGGGTACTGTAAATCATTCCTGGGTCCTTTGCAAAAGGAACACATGCTCTGAATCATTGCTCTAGCCCCAGTTTTTTGTTTTGGGGTTTTGTTTTTCAATATGAGAAGTAAAAGGAAAACTTAAAAGTATATGGAACAAGGTTTGGTACCACTTATTAAAACTAATAAAAAGCAAATTAAAATCTATATACATCTTCTCACCTGTAGATTCTATATATAATTAAAAATAACTTCAATTAAAAAACAAATCAGTAAATATTAATGTCTGCTCTTTTCCTTTTCGAAATATTACTTTTCAAAATACATCATGCCATCTTTGGTCTCCATTTAGCTGAAACGTGTCATTTACATTAATTGCTCAATTTCCTTTGTTTTTAACCTAATGGCTTCCAAATACCTTAGAATACAATAGAAGTCCTTACTACTGTAGCTTAAGAGTTGGTCCTGTATGATCCATTTCCTTCTATGAACTCAGTTATTCCAGGTCTTTCCTTGGCACGATAACATCCATTCATAGCCAAGTCTCTACTTGAACTTGGACTTAGTTCCTTGAAGAGATACTTGCACTTGGCAGCTGGGATGGTTGGTTTTAATTGTCAAGTTGGCAGATCTAGAGTCATCTGGGAAGAGAATCTCATCATGGCATGCAAGGGGTCTCTGGATTACACTGGCATGTGGACAGGCCTCTGTGGGATTGTCCTAATCATGCTTATGTATGAAAAGATCCACCTTGATTGGGACCAGGGCTGTCAAAGTGAAGAAAGTCAGCTGAGCACTAGCATGTGCTGGTCTCTTCTGCTGGTGCATGTAACATAAGCAGGTACTTGGAGTTCTTGGGGGCCTTGACTTTCCAACCATGATTGATTACTGTGGGCTGTGAGCTAAAATCAACCTTTTCTCCCCTTAAGTTGTTTTTGTCAAGAGTATTTTATCACAGCAACAAGGTGGAGTAAAACAACTAAGACAGCTGTTCTCAAAAAACTGGTATCAAAAACAATGGTTTTGTACCAACTCTAAAATAAAGTTGTTATTATTAGGTCTACACTGTACAGAAATAACCATATTTACTCTTAGGTTAGGTTAACTAAAGATGTCAACTTGTTTGCAAGACTGGAAACAGCTCCTGAATTCTTTCACAGAAAGCAGGTATGCCGGTTGGCCCTGTCAAACCAGAAATATTCTTCTTTATGCTTTTTTCCACTTTCAAAGAAACAGTTTTGATCATACTTGAAATGTTTAATTAAGGCACCAGAAGATTCATTTATCCTTTTTCTCAGCACCATAAAGAACACCCTAGCAGTTCTAACTAGGCATTCACCTTGATGTTGAACCTATTCAACATCAGAGTCCTAAATTTATTTAAAGAACAAAGAAACAAAACAAAACAAAAAAACCCTCTATGGCTTGAAGACCAAAGTTCAACAATGGTACTTTCATTGTTTTCATGCTTTGTCAATTAGTTAAATGAGCTTTGCACTCCCTAAAATCATGAATTGAATTGATAGCAGTTCCTAAATGAAAGATTCTCTGTACCAACAATGACTTTCCCTAACTTCTTGCTGACCAATGCAGTCACAACACTGCACAAAATATATTATCTGACTTCACAAAGTTCCTAATATAGATTAATTGATTCTGTAAGTAAATACAGTGTACAGAACTTTCAATGTGAAATATTTAGAACCTGAAAGTACTTTATTCCTACTATAATGTTACATTGCTTCTTCATAACTTTTTCAATGTTGAAAGGCTTTGAAATTACCCAAACACCAAAAAGCATAGTGTGTGTCATATATGACATATGTGATATGATATATATAATCATACCACAGACAACCACAAATTCTAACTCCATATAGAAAAAGTTTATTTATTTATCCCTCAAAACAAGCTCTCCTGTACCCCAGACTGGCCTCATACTTGCTACCAGCAGATGATGAGCTTGAACTTCTGATCTTCCAGTGCTTTGTGTATCAACAGCAATAGCCCCAGCACCACAGAGGGGAAATTCTAAATGGGATTACACAATGAATTCTATGTAAACTGCAGGTACTACACATTTTTAATCTACTTCAATCATCACCTAAAATCAGAGTGACTAAGACAAAGCCAAAATCCAAAACCACATAGACAACATTTAGGGCCTCAAAACAAAAACAGGGAAAACAGTTGCATGACCATATATAGTGTGGTTGACTGGATCTGAGTATCACAAAATAGCTACTAGGTGTTCTAGGAACAGTTTGGAGGACAATGAAAGAAAAAAGGCTGAAAATAAAAACATTTAGCTCACCCCAGCAACCATATATACTTGGTTCCCCAGTTGGATCCAGAGCCTTCCTTGATGTGAAACTAGGCTCTACCACACAGGTAAACATGCCCCCCCCTATAAAAATTCTTGAAACCAATCAGC